AGGTAGTTGAGCCTCAACTCAGGCTGTCTGTGAACCACCAGAGTGTGATAGCAGGACCACAAGTGGTAGTCAACACAGAACAAGAGAGGACCTCTGCACCTAGGCAGTGACCTAAAACAGGTAAGGCTGTGCTGGTGCATGGGAACAGGAGCTGAGTGGATTATGGATGCTTCAGTCATTCGTCCTGCCAGTTATGTTTACTGAGGACCTTCTATGGGTTGAGCATTGTTTCAGGGAAAGGGGATGAATGGAATAGTGCCCCTGACAAGGGTCACACCATCTAGAAAGTGGGACATACAAGAGAACGAATGCTGATACAAGTGAGTGTAAATCCATGTGAGAGTCCAGAGAAGGAAGTTCTGAGCTTTACCTGACTGTGTTTTACCTGAGTGTTATTTGAACAGGGTCTCCAGGGACAAGAAATAAGAGTTTGCAAAGCAGGGAGTGGAGAGGAGAAAGGCAATCTAGTTAAAGGGAATAATATTTGCATAAAATGTTTAAGAACAAGGGCAATTCTGAGAACAGCAGTTAGTATGGGGCTAAAACAAAGACTAAACGTGGGGAAGCGATGCATTTAACAAAAATTGGAGAATTTACACTGTGGCTGAAACTTTGCTAGTTGCTATGAATAAGAAAAAGGCTTGGCTGCTGCTTTCAAGGATATTTGAGTTCAGTGGTAGAAATAGGAAATAAAATCAGAAATTACAACCTAGTATAGTAAGTGTAGGAGAAATGATAAGGAAGGTCCTGGACACCTCTTCAGGATCAAGGTAGAAGTAGGAATGGGTAGATGATTAATCAAAGTGGTAAGCATAGGATTGCACAATGGGAACACAGAAAAGGGACACTGGATATAGCTTTGAAGGATTCAAGGTTTCCAATACAAATTATTTTATTATGTTCCTCAACTGTTGCAGATTTTTGGGTAATTAAGTTTTAAACATTAACTTATTATAAAATAGTATATCAGATAGTATAGCAGTGAATAAAACAAAAATCCTGATTTAAAGAACATTAAAGAGTTACTCTCTAGGGCACCTGGGTGGCTCAGTTGGTTAAGCGGCTGCCTTCGGCTCAGGTCATGATCCTGGAGTCGTGGGATCGAGTCCCACATCAGGCTCCCTGCTCAGCAGGGAGTCTGCTTCTCCCTCTGACCCTCCCCCCTCTCATGCTCTATCTCATTCTCTCTCTCAAATAAATAAATAAAATCTTTAAAAAAAAAAAGTTACTCTTTAAGCAACATGATGATGAACCCATATGCATATATATGTATGTATATATATATACATACACACACACTGTTGTGCTACACTTTCCTCTCACAATATATTTTTTTAAGTAGGTTCCATGCCCAGTGTGGAGCCCAGTGTGGAGCTTGAACTCATGACCCTGAGATCAAGACCTGAGCTGAGATCAAGAGTTGGACACTTAAGCAACTGAGCCACCCAGGTGCTCCACTATGCTTTTATCTCTTAACAAAATATTTTGAACATTTTTCTACATCAGTATGTATCAGTCTACCATATTCTTTTTTTAAGAGCTGTATGGTATTCTCTTATATAAAAAACCTTAGTTTAACCAGTACTCCGTTGATAGATATTTAGGTTTTCTAGTTTTCTTTTTTTAAAAAAGATTTTATTTATTTATTTGACAGAGGGAGACACAGCGAGAGCAGGAACACAAGAAGGGGGAGTGGAAGAGGGAGAAGCAGGTTTCCCATAGAGCAGGGAGCCAGATGCGGGGCTCGATCCCAGGACCCGATCTGAGCTGAAGGCAGACACTTAACGACTGAGCCACCCAGGCACCCCTCTAGTTTTCTCTATTACAATCACATTGGAAATGAATACCTTTGTTTATACATCATGTATACTTGGGCTAACATTACTTTGGAGCAAATTACTTAATCTCTTTGCGGCTGATATCTACAAAATCATTGAGAGAATTATCAAACTAATTTACTTAATTAAAATTTCTTGCATAGAGATTGGCTAAAGAAATGTTCTCTTAAACTACTATAATGTTATGTTCATTAATAAATTAAAACAAATATGTGATAAATCTTTTCTTTAGTTTTCACTGTGAATAGAATAAAATAATAGAAAACCTGCTGGTTGGAGATAGGTTCTTATATTTAATTGTTCAGTTTGCTTTTTATTTTTATTTTTTTTAAGATTTCACTTATTTATTTGTCAAAGGGAGAAAGAGCAAGCAAGCACAAGCTGGGGGAGCAGCACAAGCAGGGGGAGTGGCAGGCAGAGGAAGAAGCAGGCTCCCCGCTGAGCAAGGAGCCCAATGCGGGGCTTAATCCCAGGATCCTGGGATCATGACCTGAACTGAAGGCAGATGCTTAACCAACTGAGCTACCCAGGCATCTCCTGTTCAGTTTGCTTTTTAAAAAATGATTAGGAAAGTAACAAAGTCGGGTGTCTGGGTGGCTCAGTTGGTTAAGTGTCTGCCTTCGGCTCAGGTCATGATCTCAGGGTCCTGGGACTGAGCCCCACATCGGGCTCCCTGCTTAGCGGCGAGTCTTCTCCTCTCTCTCCCCTACCCCTACTCATGCTCTCTCAAATAAATAAAATCTTTAAAGAAAATGAAAAGTAACATAGTTTCTTATGAAGTATAAAGAATAAAATAAAGATTCTCTATTATTCTGCCACCTAGAAATTAGCATGGTTTAACATTTTTGTAACTATTCAGTTAGGTGTTTGTCCTTTGATTCATACTTCATTTAATCAAAAATAGAACATTAGGTATTTTTATAACCTTTTATTTTTCTTATTGGCATGCTGTGAAACTTATTTCATATGACCTTTTTTTTTTTTAATCTTATTTGTCAGAGAGAGAGAGCACAAGCCGGGGAACCGGCAGGCAGAGGGAGAAGCAGGCTCCCTGAGGAGCAAGGAGCCCGATGAAGGACTCCATCCCAGGCCCCTGGGACCATGACCAGAGCTGAAGGCAGACACTCAACCAACTGAGCCACCCAGGCTTCCCAACCATTTTCTTTTTACAAAGAAGTACATCATGATATTTGTTTATTTATTCATAAGTAATCTCTACTTCCAACATGGGGCTTGAACTCATAACTCTGACTCGAGTCACATGCGCTACCAACTGAGTGGTTCAGGTGGCCCTACATCATCATTTTTATTTTTATTTTTAAAGATTTTATTTATTTATTTGACAGAGACACAGTGAGAGAGGGAACGGGGGGAGTGGGAGAGGGAGAAGCAGGCTTCCCGCGGAACAGGGAGCCCGATGTGGGGCTCGATCCCAGGACCCTGGGATCATGACCTGAGCCGAAGGCAGACGCTTAATGACCGAACCACCCAGGCGCCCCGTACATCATCATTTTTAATGGTTTTGTATTTTATACATGGATGTGCTGTACCATAATTTATTTACTCAGTCTCTTCATTTTATAGGAATTTAGGTTGTTGCCAATTTTTTTTTGTAGTTATAAGCAATATATTAATGAATGTCTTTAAAATTGTTGGACACCTTTTCCACTATTTTATTAAAATTAATTCTAAGATGTAGAATAGCTGGGCAAAGGGTATCTTAAAGAACTTTTTTTTTTTATGAAAGCCAAACTATCTTCCAGAAACTCTGCACAGATTTTGATTCTTTTTTTTTTTTTTTTAAGATTTTATTTATTTGACAGAGAGAGCACAAGCAGAGGGAGAGAGAGGGACAAGCAGGCTCCCTGCTGAGCAAGGAGCCCGATGTGGGACTCGATCCCAGGACCCTGGGATCATGACCTGGGCCGAAGGCAGCTGCTTAACCGACTGAGCCACCCAGGCGTCCCAGATTTTGATTCTTGATATGGTTATGCAAATACCTATTCCTTCTACCCTCATCTAGGTTCTTTTAAAATTTTTGCCAGTCTAATAGGTGAAAAGTAGTATCTCGTTAGTTTTATTTTCATTTTTAAAAAAATTTCTATTGAGGTATAACATCTTTTCATATAATTTGACATACACATGACTAGCTTGTTTTTGTCCTTTGACTTTCTAAGAGATAGTATGGTTATCTTTTCCTTCATGATTTGTAAGAGCTCTTGATATATTTATTATGTAAACCGAACATTATTAGACATTAATAGTAACTGAGTATGTATAATTAAATATTAAGCAGTTTGTGTGAATGTTAAATTGTTTCTCCATTTTATTATTTTTTTAACTTTATGTCTTGTGCCATTGGAAAGGCACAATTTGTGTGCTCAAATTACCTATTTTTGGTTTGTTTCTGGAATGCACATCATGCTTAGAAATAGAGAAGCAGGTCCTGTCCCAATACATAAATTATTTATACTGCAGCACTGTGGTGTGGTGGAAAGAATGTGGATTAAGACTCTCTAACACGTTGAAGATGGACAGCCAAGTTGGTGGCGCTCAGCTTCCATGTCGCGCAACCTTAAGTACATGACTTGACCTGAACCAGTTTCCTCATCTGCAAAACGCGACAAACAACACCCACTTCATAAGTTGGTATAAAGACAACATGCCTAGCACAGACAAGGCATCCAGCTTGTGTTAATGCTCTTTTCTTTTCTTTGCTCTCGGCGAGGTATTAATTACAAGAAGTGTCTCTCTCTTCGATGCAGACCAAAAGGTTGGGAAGTGTAATTTTTGTTGAGTTTACATTCAAACATTCTATCGGGGAGCTTTTAGAAGCAGTCCATTAAACTACAAACCCCATAATGCATATAAAATGACCATAAAATTTCTGTGTATGAAGCCTTTGTAGCTTGGGGGAGTGCGGAGAGCCACGGACTTTTTATTTACTGGATTTTCTCTCGTTGAGACACCTCCCCCCACATTTTCCCCTAAGCACATGCGGTTACTTTTCTTCCTCTTAGAAAGCTAACTTCACAGGTTTCAAAGTGAGCTTTCAGTTACAAAGCGAGAAAGTATCTCAATTAGAAAACTGTGAGTATCATGAAATTCATTAAAAAAACACACAAAACTGTGGGGTGTGTGGGCCATAATAATAATTCTCACCTCCCGTAGACTTAGCAGAAAGAAAAATGACTGGCACGATTACATCTAGTAGCCATTTTTACCCTTTGAGAATCTGAGCTTTGCTGCCACCGAATTAGTCCCCTCTCGTCAGCTACCGGCCTCCCGTCCGAATTATTTACGTCCGACACACTCGTATTTGCATACGATGGTGGATTCACTGCTGCTGGGCGCCCAATTAGCCCCGCGCCTGCACGGCCAGCGCTCCGCCCGCGCGGGGCCGTGTACTGCCGAGCATGTGATCTCTCTTCCGCCCAGGCCCGAGCGCGGTACCCGGCAAGTAAAGCGCGCAGCGGCCGCTCCGAGCGTCCAGCCAGGGAAGACGCCGCGCCACGCGCCACTCTAGCTCGCGCGGCTGCGTCCCGGCTCGGCCTTCTCTTCTCATCCTCCCGAAGGCCCCACCATCCCAGGCTCCCGGGCGGCCCCGGGCGGGGGAGGGGCGGGAGGAGGGGCTCCTCAGGGAGCGGCGGGGAATTCCCCCTTCCACCGAACGTTCCCGATTGTTCACCATCCTCACGTCAGCAGCAGGGGGTAATCCCCGACTCCAGCTGCTCCTGACGTCACTGCGCGGAGCCACCGCCCCCCACGCGCCCTTACCTCCGGGGCTTCCTCGACGCTCCGCCCCCAGACGTAGCCACGCCTCATTCCTCCCCCCCGCCCCAGTCGCCCGACGTAGAGGGCGGAGCTTTTTCGGCCAGGGCGTGAGCGGTTGCTTGGGCCAGAAGGTTCTCTGGTGGAGGCGCTCTTCCTACTGCCCCGCCCAGTAGGTTCGTTCGCACTGCTTCTTCCACACCCTTTATCCCTCCTCTTTCTCCTCGCCCCGCCTTTCCCCTCCCTTCTCCTCAACCCCTCTAGTTCCTTCCCCGCCTCGCCACCTTCCACGATCTCGCGAGACTTGACCCAGAACATTGCGGATCGGGTCGGCGCCATTTTGGGACCGAGACTGGTTGTGGGGGAGGGAAAAGCGGCAAAAGGGGATTATTCAAAGTACCGAAAACCTCCTCCCGGGATCGAGCGCAGTGGCACCCCCAGGCCAGGGGCACCTCTGGTGTAGCAGAAGGTAACACCGTCCTCTGTGCTCCACGCTGGAGTCTGGGGGAGGAAGGAGGGTGCCCCTGTCGGCGTTGGGGTTTGAGGGGTCGGGAGCGGCGTTGGCGGCGCGAGGTGTGAGGCTGCCCTCGGACGCGGTGGGGGGGGGGGGTGGCGGAGAGCAAGGAGAGAGACGGAAGGACGGCGGCGAGAGGCCCCTTTAGATATTTACTCGGCCCCGGTGGAGTGGGGGTGGCGGTTGTGGGGAGGGGGTGGATGGCTTAGGCTCGGTGGCTGGGGGATGTTTGGCGGAGGCTGAGAACGGATCCGACGCCCTCCGTGCTGGGTCTTCCTTCCTCCGGCCTCTCACACATGCCCGCCTCCTTTGGCACTACTGCTCCTCTAAGAGGGCTGACGGAGTCGAGGCCGAGTTGTGGCCTTCGGTGGTTTCTTCAGTAGCGCGCCCGCTCTTTTCCTCCTCTCCCGGGTCCGTGGTCGTAGCTGTGTATTGAGTCGAATGCTACCATGTCCCTCGGAGTCCTGTGGGGCCTGAAGGGACCTATTCTGGTTTTGGAGAGAACCACTCTTAATGGGATTTACGAGAACGGTTTGGTACCTTCCACCCCCTCAGTGTTGGGAGAAACCTGTTTTCTTAATTCAGGGAAATGGGGACCGACACCTTTATCCCACAGCTGCTCTCAGAAGCCGGGGAAGTCTCACCCTCAGGCGAATTTAAGGAACGTTCTTGCCCCATTTCTCACCTCCCTACTTTCTACCCTTAGTGGGGAAAATGTCTCTTAGACATTCTAATTTGGAGAGAGCGTCTTTCTCTTTATATCCTTTTTTTTGTGAGTTGTATTTACTAATGCTCCTTGGCACCACACCTGCCTGTTCATTTTCTTTCGGCCCAGTGAATTGAAAATAGAGAAAATCTTTTATAAGGTGTGGGCCAGTTTCATAGTTTTAATTTTTTACTCGAAAAGTATAGGAGGTTTATATAATTCCCCCGTATTATATCCGCACCCCCTTCCCAGTTGAAATCATTCCTTGTCCTCCGTAACATCATCTCTCACCTTTTCCTCTTTTATTCTAAAGTCTTTTTCACCCAGTAGACTGTTTCGGGGCGCTTGCTTGGGCTGAGCCTTTTTTCAGACCCCAGTAGAATTACGTAGAAGTGAATTTCTCTCCAGAAGTTGATTCTTCAAGATTGGGGTTAATTTTTAGCTCAAAATTAAAATTCAGTGTGTAATTGAAGTTTTTTTTTTTTTATAACTTTTACAGGTGATTGAATTACTCATATATGAAGATCATCTTCTAGGTTTTGTGTAAAAGGCCCCGGATATTTGAAGTGGCCATTTTGGGATTACAATGTTTTTGGATAATTTTGCCCCAGAAGTTTATTAAAAGTGGCAAGAATCATCTCTGAAGTGAATTTAATAGTAGTGAACAATTCTACAAGCTACTAAAAGGACCCAGGCATTTCTTCAGTATTTTGGTTCAAACGGATTATATAACTGTTTAAATTATTTCAGCTGGTGGTATTTTTTTTTGCTTCTTCCCTACCCCCCCCCCCCCCTTTAGTTGTTCTTCAGCCAAAACTGTAAGATATGTTTGATTTGTGTACTGAGTAGTTTCGGCAGTTTCAAATTACTGTTTAAATATTGCTGAAGTTTCTTGGCAGTTTATTTTTACCTTTATTAAAAGTTTTAGGAATTTTTGACCTCAGCCCTTTTCATGTCACAATGGGACAGCTTTTCTAAATGAAGACATTGAAAGAAGACAGAGTTTTTTCCCTTTTATCTTTTATTTACGTGGAAATTTAAGATGTTGCAGTTTTCCAGCAGCATGGTAGTATTGAGATAGCTATGTGTCTCCCTATATGCTGATGTTTAGGAATGCTCTTCAGATGTGAAATTTTCTTTTTGTTTTTGCTTTTTGGCTCATAAATTGGATATTTCATCTGGAGTGGATAAGTACAACGGTGACAAGTACATGGAATAATAAAGAAGACTTTAAAATCTTAAATCCAAGGAACTTGGCTAATTCTGGAGATAGCCATATGAAAACTTTAAAACAGAAGTATGGGTAGCTGACTTGAAGTAACTCTATGTCAAATAGTCATAGGTTAAGTATCTTCAAAGAACTTGGATATTATTTCAGAGGATACAAAATAAAAAAACAAACTGGAAAACATAAAGATTACAGAGAAAAACCCAACACCTTCCTGTGCAGTCCTGTTGGAATTTGTAAGTATTGTATGGTGAGCAAATCACATGTTCATTTGTAAACTGTAATAAGAGTCAAGTTTATTCTATTTTGGAAGCCTTTCAGTTTCTTGGAATAATACTGCTTGGCTTCAGTTTCCTGGACAGTCTGAAGACTACCTACCATTAAGTAAATTGAAATGCAGAAAGAGTTAAGATTTAAGAATATTTCAGGTCACACAATCCATATTTTTACATTTTTGTGCTTATGAAGTAAAGAAAATCCCTTTGGTGAGTATTCACCCTAATTTTTATGGATTCATAGATTGGTAAAAAGGTAGGAAAAAACAACAAATATTTTATGTGTCTTGCTAGCCAGTTACTTTCTTTAGGCTGCTTTCTAAAGGGAGTTTAGTGTTGTTATTTAGTTAGGTAATTTAGTGTAAACTCTAACATATGACTTGGTTTTTAAACCTGATTTTCATCACAATTCATAATTCTTTTAAATAGCTTGATATATTTTCTTTTTGGAAGGTTATGCTGACTTAAGTTTATAAACAAAGTTTTTTTAAAAAGTTGGAAGTATTGCTGTAATAGATCCTTTGACAAAGGAGAATTATGTTTTAATAGTACTTCAATTTTTCAGTATTGAATAGTACTGTTTTTACTTACCCTTAGTTATTAGGGTTTTTCAGTGATTCCTAGGCATAGGAATGTTTGTTATTAAAAAACCCACTAAAATTTATTATTTAGACACTATTAGTGAATATATTAGTGTAGCTAAAATGAGAGTTTATTTCGTTTAATTACCTTTCTTAGATAAAAGATTGTAATTTTGAACATTTTGCCAAGATGGCTTTATAACTTGTCAGTTGTTCCCCTTATACCAAACCGGAACTTTTTTTTCCTATGCTATTGATTGAATTCTTTTATCTCACTTAGAGCAGAAGAGGTAGTACAGTCCAGAACAATGTAGGTATCCAAATAAAGCGTTTATTTTCTGATCTAAAATTGAGATTAGAATTAAGTAATCCTCTCTGTTAAAATAGACTGAGTTATTTTTGTTTTGTCTGTCAGAACTGTGTGTAGTACTTCTAATTGAGCTTTCACCTTGATTTATATTAAAAAAAATGGCGAGACCATTCAACCACCTTTTCCCTTCAGAAGGGACTGCTCTTATATGCATTTCTCAATTTAATGGTTTTTCAAGTTACTGGTCTAGGAATATGCCTCTTAAATGTGATTAAGAAGTTGAAGTGGAAATGAATAATCTTTTCATAGAAAAGAACATTATTTATGATTATTTTCCTTTAAATTATTCCTACTGTTGTTACCCAAAGCCATGTTACCAGGATAAAGATAATTCCAGAGACAGGGTTTTTAAGAATTAACTTTAATCTTTGAATAGTCTCACATCGGTGAAGTTTGCTTACAGAAATTGTTCATGGACAGATTTACTTACTTGAACATTTTGATAAATATTTTATTATATTCTTGGCATCAAAATAGATAGCAATAGTAATTGGAACAATTGCTGGGCTGCTTCTCCCCCTCCCCCACCTTTTTTCCTCCTGTCTACCCTACTCCATTTTTTTAATCTCCTGTGCCTAGACTGTAGGTCTAAAAATAATAATCATAGTAATTAACATTTATAGATGATTGTGTCACATATTTTGCTGTGAACTTTGCATAGTATACTTTAGCTCTTAGAATAATTCTATGAAGAAAGTGCTATTATAGTTACAGTTATACAGGTGAGAAAATTAAGATTTTAGGAGATTGAGTCTGGGAGAAAGTAACTTGGTTAGGAACAGGGTTAGATAGAAGTTTTGACCAAATCTCCAACTCTGGCTGGAGGGCTCAATACTCTTAATCACTATGCTATACTGCTTTCTTGTGAATTGTATTTCATTAACGCCTATTTGAGCATTATCCCTGATATTTTTGTTTTTTTCTTCTATATACTGCTTCTCTTCAGTTAATATTGATTACTAGTGGAACTTGGAGTTCTCTTTGGTTAATATTGATTACTAGTGGAACTTGGAATTAAGCTAAAAAGTAGAAGAGAAGGTGTTGTTAGTGTTGCTACTTGTAACTATCTGGTAAAACTTTAGTTAGCTAAAAATTAAAATGTACTTTCAGGTTATATTTCTATCTTATACACCCACATTCTCTTTGCACATTGGTGAAGCTAAATGCATGTTAGCTTTGTTTTACTTTTTCTCTGGTTTTGAACTGAGATTAGTCCATAGGTTTTTATTATTATATTATGTTAATCACCATACATTACATCCTTAGTTTTTGATGTATTCCATAGATTTTTTTTGCTTAAAGTTCCTAACACTTGAGAATGGAGGAAAGAAGGAATAGTAAGGAAATAACAGGAATGGGAAAAGAAGAAAGAAAAAAAAAATGAAATTTAGAGAGTTACAGAGTAGGTAGGAATAAGGATGGGAACTTCTAATATGAGTGTAAAGTTAGCAAGTGAGGATAGACCCTAAACGCAGGCCAGATTATCTGTCTTCGACATAACCACCTTTTTTCTGTTTAATTTTTGATAAAATTTTTAAAATAACGATTTAGATCCAGGTAGAAAAAGGGAAATGGTTGGGAGTTAGGACATTTTCGGTTTAGCATTTGGAAAATCTAGAAAGGGGCCTATGTGACCTTGTGTATTTGCCAAAGCTCTTTGGCCTTGGCTTTTCCAGAAAACTGATGGAAATAATTTATATGAAGGCTTTTTGTTAATTGTAAAGTGTAATATATGTGTAATGTTTTTTTCTAATTTCCAGTATTTTGAGATTCTGATAAGTACATGTCAAATCAGTATTTGTTACAGTCTGAAGTTGTTTCTTCTTCTGTATCTGTTAATGGCATTACCGGAAACCCATTCATACCCTGCCCCTCCCCATTTCCAGTTTCATTTATTATCCTAGCTTGGTCCTTGATCAAGAAAGTAACGAACTAAATTTCTTTGCCTTTTAGCTCCATTCTCTTTTTCCCCATAGTTTCTTCTGTGGCCAGAAGGATAGCTCTTGGTTTCGTTAGTTCAGCAGCCCTCACTTAGGGTGGTGGATTTGGCATATTTAAGGAGAGCAGGTTGGAAAGAGATGTATTCCCTGTCCCCTTCTCCCCTTTTTTAAATGTTTTATATGTCAGGGTTTCCTAACGTCAGTTTTTTTTGGCCACATAGGTGGGTGTGGGAGACAGTGGTTTGAAAATTCTCTAAAATCGATCATTTTGGGAGTGCTTATATATTTTTCTGGGGAGCAGGTCCATTACTTTGAACAGGAGACTCAAGAAAAACAAAATGTTGGGCGCCTGGGTGGCTCAGTTGGTTAAGCGACTGCCTTTGGCTCAGGTCATGATCCTGGAGTCCCGGGATCGAGTCCCGCATTGGGCTCCCTGCTTGGCAGGGAGTCTGCTTCTCCCTCTGACCCTCCTCCCTCTCATGCTCTCTGTCTCTCATTCTCCCTGTCTCAAATAAATAAATAAAATCTTTAAAAAAAAAAAAAAAAAAAGAAAAACAAAATGTTAGAATTACTGATAAACCTTTTGTGGTTGGATGTTTTTCAGTTTTACCTGCTTTGCTTTTCCCCTTTTTTGTTAGCTGCCACACCCAGCAGAATAGTTACAGGCTTTTGGTCTATATTCTTTCAAGTAATTGCTAGTTTCTGCGTCTTTTTATACAAGGTATCCCACTCATTTTCTTGTTCTTGAGTCATCTTTCTGTTCACAGCTTGGTGAGTGCAGTGTTTTGGTGTTTCATTTTCTGCCCTTTAATTCAGCTTATTCATTATATTTTTTTGAAACCTTTTTAAAAAAGTTTTTTCTGTACTTATTTTTAGCAAGAAAAAGTTTTAAAATTGTTAAATATGTTGTGTTTCCTTTGAAACTCAGAACTTGCAAATACACACTGAGGGGCTCCTGAATGGCTCAGGCAGTGTGTCTGACTCTTAATTGCTCCTCAGGTCTTTTTTTTTTTTTTTTTTTAAAGAGCGAGTGAGAAGAGGGGAGAGGAAAGGGCAGAGGGAGAGAGACTTTAAAGTAGGCTCCACACTGGGCTCCATCTCACAACCCTCCTGAGATCATAACCTGAGGCAAAATGAAGAGTCCGATGCTTAACTGAATGAGGCACTCAGGAACCCCTCAGCTCAGGTCTTGATCTCAGGGTGGTGAGTTCAAGCCCTGTGTTGGGCTCCATGCTGGGCCTGGGGCCTACTTAAAAAAAAAAAAAAAAAAAAAACTGGAAAAAAAAATTCTTAAACTGAAAAATTGTCTTTGCCTCTATGTTTGCATACTAGTTAAAGAAATTAGTTTGCTTTTCAATGAGTATAAATATAGTGAGTTTAAAAAAAATAATAGTTACTATCTCACGTGATAACCTGTGGGTGGGAAGTTTGGCAGCCGTTAGACCTGTGTGGTTCTGGCTCCCTGTAGGTCTTTAATATATAAAGTCTCAGATACAGTTACCAGGGCTACAGATATTTGAAGGCTTGACTGGGGCTGGAGGATCTTTTTTCCAAGATGGTGTACTCATTGGCCTGGCAGCAGTTGATGCTGGCTGTTGTCTGGAGGACTCAGTTCCTAACCACCTGTGGATCTCCAACTCCTTGGGGTTTTTTGTTTGTTTTGTTTTGTTTTTAGTAATCTGTACACTCAACTTGGGGCTCGAACTCACAACCCCAAGGAAAAGAGTTGCATCCACTAGGTCAGCCAGGCACCCCTCCTTGAGTTTCTTTAAAATGTGGCAGCTGTAGCTCCTGGAGCAAGTGATCTCAGAGATAGGTAGAAGCCAGGCTATCTTTTATGACCTATTCCAGAAGTCATTTCTGCCACATTCTTTTTGTTCCAAACAAGTCATTAAGTCTAGCCTGAAACCAAGGAGTGTAGTTAGGTTTCATCTTTCCTCAAAAGAATTTGTGGACATACTCACAAAAACCACAGTAGGAGGTAATCTTTCCCAACCAGTAGTTGTCAGCATAATTGGAATTAGCCAGTCTTCACTCCACAATTAGCAGGTTGGGCTGTTACAACTTTAG